ATGTATATTCTATTTAATACATTATATCTATTTTTTATATTTATTTCATTGATATAATAATAGAGCTAGTGTTAAAACACATATGTCTTGAATTTATACATTGTCAGATATAGGTGAAGGCAGTAAATTATTGTGAAACAATAGCTCTTTGAGCCTAGGTGACATACTATCTAGTTGATATCTGCCTAGTCGAACGGAACTTAAAAACCAGCTTGCTTGTGCAAATCAAGATCGAGAAATTGCTATAGAGTGTGGTAATCAACTTGCCAATAAATGTTCTGTCTTGGATAAAGACAATAAGCATATACAATGGGATCTAAATCAATCTAATAAAGAAAAAGAAAAACTTTCCAAGCATATCTATCAACTTATAGATAAGGTTAAGCGATTGCACTCAGAGTTAGATACTCTAACATCCCAAATTACTCACAAGGATATTTCTCTTAATGAATATAAAGACAAGATTCGTACAAAACTAAAAGAGATGAAGGCTCTTCAGTCTAAGATAAAAGTATTGAAGATGAGACTATCTTCAACCCAGAAGGACTCATCTATGAAAGAATCTGAGATTGATTATCTTAGAGTCGAATTATCTGCCTTGAATTCTAATCTAGCTTTGAAAAATAGTGAATTAGAGTATATGAAGAATATGTTAACTTTAAAAAATAGCGAATTAGAACTAATAAAAAATGATTTGGCTGAAAAAAATTTTAGAGATACGCTTCTTAGAAACTAGACTCAAAAAGCTATTGCTCTGCAATAGATTATCATCAGAATAAGTCAAGATCGGAGGTAAGACAGATGAAAAAAATGATGATAATATATCAGTTATACAGTTTTCACCAAAGAATCTGAACTCTTTATCTCTTGCAAAATATTTTGTATATAAACCTAAGACAGAGAATAGTTAAGTAGATAGAGATATCCAAAAATCTTTAACTCAACAAACTTTAACCAGTTTAAATGATAATATGCCTAAAGAATCAGAAATCTCTAATAAGAAGCAGATAAATAATGAGCAGGTACGAAGTAACATTTTTTCTAAAATAAGCCCAGAGTATATTGTATCTAAGATAAAGAATAATAATATACCAATAAGAGAGATTGAAGCATTATCTGTTGTGACATTAGGTGCTGGCAAAGCTTTGGTTAATTATAAGTATCAGATTCCCCCTATTGTTAAGCTTGTTGTTCTTGTTATAATAACAATACTAATT